CAGTTTAAGAGAGTTCCCTTTCACCACAGCCTTTCCAACACTCAAGCAAAAGTGGCCCATTGCTGTGATATTTATGTACCTAGGAAAAAATTAACACAGTCCTGCTGAGGGGAAGCCTGTCGAATTTCTCCTGGGACACCACAGCAATGCATGAGGAAATCAAAACCACAGTGAGATACCATTTAACCCCAGTCAGAATGGCTAGGATTAAAAAAAAAAAAAAAAAAAAGAACAATGAGAGCTGATGAGGTTGGGGTAAAAGGAGAACCCTCCTACACTCTTGGTGGGAAAGTAAATTAGTATAGGCAGGACTGGGTTAATTTTTTTCTAGGTACATAATTTTTTTTTTTTTTTTTGGAGAGATTTTTGCTATAGGGTGCGTGTGCTCGCTAGACAGACAGAGACAGAGAGACAGAAAGCGAGAAATCACTCCCCAGGGGGGATGGTCACGCCGCAATCCCTTCTCCTCCACTCTCCTCTTGGGATCCTGGGCACGCACGCACAAGCGCCCGGCGTGAGTTCTAAGCCACCGGGTCCGGGACGCGAACCGCAGTCGACCACGTGGGAGTCCAGCGACATAGCCATTACGCCAACTTGTGGTTCCCCAATGACTATTATATCTTCTTGATGAATTAATCCTTTTATAACTCTGTGATATCTTCTTTGTTTTCCTTATTTTTTATACTATTTTATCTGATATCAATGTTGCAGCTCCTGCCCTTTCTTTTTCATTTGTTTGCATGAAATGACTTATTCCAGCTCTTAACTTTCAGTCTATATATATCTTTGTCAATGAAGTATACTTCTTGTAAGCAACATATAGAGAGTTCCAGTTTTTTTCATCCATTGAGCCCATCTATATTTTTTAGTTGGAAAATTTAACCCATTAACGTTCAAGATTATTATTAATATATGTAGACTTAGTCTTGTCATTTAGTCTTTTTCTTTTTTTTAAGACCCAATGTTTGGCTTGTCTACCATTATATGTCCTGTGTTCTTAAAAGTAGGCATCTAATAAACAGTGTTTTGTGAGACTACCAGATAGGCTAGGAGAAACTCTAGACAAGTTTCCTGATTTTTTTTTAAGTTTCAAGTTTTGTTTTTGTTTTTGCCTTTTTTCCATATTTTCCTTGCATGAGAGAGTTACCCCCAGCAGAATCCTGAGGCTGTGATTGCTCCCATCCACAGCCAGCCCAGACCATGGGTACTCATGTGCCTGGTGACCCTCAGAGCGGTCTCTGGATATGAACATGGAACTCTCATTGGATTAGCCTTGGAGAGCATTGCATTTTACTGCTCTACCACTATCCCACCCCTCCTTGTCACCTTTTTTTCACCATTACCTCCTGAGAACTTTTTAAAGATATTTTTTCCTAGCCACCCTTCTCCCCCTTGAAACTTTAATACCACAGATGTCCTATTACTTATTTATGTGTTGTAATGTGTAGCCTTACTTTATACACAAAAAGAAGAAGGTTTTTTGTTTTTGTTGTTTTGTGTTATTTTTTTAATTTACATTTAATTATTGTACATTTTTACAGCATATTATGTGACTTCTCAAAGCATAAATGCATTGCATATCAAGAAAGTCAAAGATATTACTGTACACAATAACTTTCCATTCTTGTGTCTGTTTTTTTTTTTTTTTTTTTTTTTTTTTCCGAGTCCCTCCCTTCTACCTCAAACTGTCTATCCCCCTACATCCCTCCTATATGGTCTCTGATATCTACACTTGCTGTCTCTACTACTGTATTGTCCAATTTTTCAGTTCTGCCATTAAGTATAGACATTCAGTATGTATTGAATAGTGACATAGTCTGGCTTGTTTTGCTTAGCATTAAATTTTCTACATTCATCCACTTTGTATGAAATGATAGGATCTCATTTTTTTATGACTGAATAGTATTCTCTAGTGTACATGTGCCACATTTTTTCAATCCAGTCATCTATTCTTGGACACTTTGGATTGATTTCATGTTTTAGCAATTGTGAATAATGCTGCAATAAACGTGAAAGTGTAAGTCTTTTCCTTATTTAATGCTTTCCTATCCTTTGGGTAGTTACAGAGGAATAGAATTACTGGGTCATATGGGAGTTATATTAGTAGGTCTTTGAAGAACTTCCATATTGTTTTCCACAGTGCCTATACTAATTTACATTCCCACCAACAGTGTAGGAGGGTTCTCCTTTTACCACAACCTCATCAGCTCTTATTGTTCTTTTTTTGTTGTTGTTTTTTGATCCTAGCCATTCTGACTGGGGTTAAATGATACCTCACTGTGGTTTTGATTTCCTTATGCATTTCCCTTACAATATGAAACATTGTACAAGCCTTCATATGCCTTTTTAGCCATTTGTTTGTTCCTTGGAAAGCTCTCTGTTTAGCCCATTTGCCTACTTTGTAATTGGATTATTTGGTTGTTTTTAGCTTCACAAGAACCATTATTTTCCCCATTGCAGGCGATATCACCCCTGTTAGAAATACATATTCTAGACATAAAGACAGACTATTTTCCACAGTTTAAATACTTGGATAAAAAATTATGATCATTCAAAAAGACCAGTATATTAGAAAAGATAAAGAATCTCAGATGAAACATACCTTCATCAATAAGGCCAATCCTGAGCATGAAATGGGGAGAAAGCCATCTGGTTT